AGGAGGGTGTGTGAGTTTATTTGTTACATTTGCCGTATATAAATATTATATATTTCAAAAAAAAAAAAAACTTCAAACTTCATCATCAAAAAGACAAAGTTAAGAAATTTCATTCACTTTTTTTTTTTTTTATAACATCTTCTCTCCCTTTCTTTATCATCTCTCTTCCAATGTGAGACAATTTCATTAACTTTTTTTGTAGTTTTTCTTTGTTTTTTTTTTTAATTGTGATTTTAATAAAAAATAATTAATTAATTTTTAAAATTAAAAAAATGCAAAATTTTGTTTAAATATCTAAAAATATAAGACATTTTTTATTATTTATATTTTACAAATTTTATCATAAAAACTAATTATATTTTAAAACTAATTATATATAAAATAATCGAGTATCTCACGAGCTCTTCGAGTCGAGTATTGAGTAGCTTGACTCGACTCGTTAATATGTCGAGTCGAGCTCGAGCTCGAGCCGAGCCTATTCGAGTCAAGTGTTGACCGAGTCAATCTCGAGTAGCTCACAAGTTGTCTCGTATCGTTTACATCGTTATTTAAAACCGAAGCTCAAACCAATCAAATATCACCCATGTAGTTTACATATTTAAATTATGGTAGGAAGTCAAAACTAAAAAACCCCATTACTCCAATCACTCTTTAGTGCCTCCAAATTCAATTCACTCTCTATCCTCCTTCATTATTACACTTCCATTAGTGTTGTAAGTGGTTATTATGAGATAATTTTTTTGTGTTCTTAATAAACAATGATTTTCTATTTATAAGAAGATCATTGATTTCATTTAACGTTATATAACTAAAAATCCCGTGTTTCTAAAAGACTTTTCACGATAACTGTCGTGGTACGTCGTGACTCAAAACTTGTCTTTGACGTCACGTTAAGCCCATGGCACACCATGACCCAGTGCACAACTTTTGTAACGCAGTATTTTATTTTATACCTTTTTAGTGTTTTAATTTTTAGTTTTAAGTCTATAACCTGGTTTAAATTATTTAATATTATTGACTAATTTAATAATATATATATATATATATATATATATATACATAGGTAGAGGTTCAAACGAGAACACATTTATTTTACGAGAATACCCTTATCACATGTGATAATATGCATGAGGGGACCCTGTGATATGCGGATGACATATTCTACGACTTAGCCCGCGCCAAAAGTTGTCTGCGTCTATGATTTAACATCACATGTGATGGTCTTGATGGATTATAGTATCATATCAACAACACTCTTATCACATGTGATAATACATGTGAAGGGACTTAGTGGTGTGAGGGCGACTTGGCCTGCAAGCAAGATTGCATCGAAAATCGTTCGCGTCTCTGATTTAGTATCACATGTGTATTATATGTGATGGAATAACAGTATCACATGTGATTGTCTATAGTAAAAAGGTGTTCTCGTTTGAACCCTTCTCTACATACATATATATATATATATATATATATATATATATATATATATGATATAGATGTAGGTCCTCTATGATATTGGTAGAACTATTAACAACATAGAGTGACTTTCATGCCAAATGGTCAACTTTGTTTATGGTGGGACCTTTTATGGTTGTTGGTGTAACTTAATATCTGATTTCATTTAAGGGCATGTTTATTTTTTATTTTTATTATATCTTTTTTTAAAACAAAAACAATAATATTAGCAATAAATAAAAGCAATAAACGAAGTTTGAACGAGGGTTTGTAAGATGCAGAATCAGATGAAACCAAACCACCCAAAAAGAAAGATAAAAGGCACTGAACAAATAAAGGACTAGACCAGAACATATGAACCAACAAACGAAAATACAACCTAAGCAACCGAAACATAACGAGAAATAGGCTCACAGAGACGCAACAAGCGGAAATTTTTGAAGTAGTGATTGTAAAGGGTTGATTTAGATAAGTCGATATGTATTTGTTGTTTATATTCAATCATTTTATCAGGTAACATTTTCAACCATCAAAATGAATTGTTGGTAAACGTCTATCACCTGGTAAGTACTTATCAAGTAAGAGTTCCCACCCTCACTTTATCGAGTAAGACTCTCGATCATTGTCTTGCCTTTCAACAAGTAAGATTCTTGGTTTTTGTCATGCTCACTAATAAGTTAAATAATCGGATAAACGTTTTGGTAAACGACACGTAAGATAAAAAGATTTCTTACTGGTTGTCAAGCAATGCCTGTGTCATGATCATCAATTGCACTATTGGACCAAACAAATAGTTTTTTCATGGGTATGCACAAGAAATTCGATAGGGAAACCACAAGGGTGGTGCCTGATTGGTTTGAGTTTGAGCTCCAAACTCAAACTGTCTGGAGGTCTCATGTTCAAATCCAAGGAGGAATAAAAATCCCCTTGTGGCCACGGAGGTTCAAATGTGGTGACTTCGGGCTACAAGCAAAGCAGGTGATCGCCCTGGGATTAATCGGCTGGCATAGCGGGTTGGGCTACCCGCAAAGCAGGTGAGTCATCAAATTTAAACCTCCGTGACCACAAGAAGATTTTTAATGGTAACAACTCATATTTTTAATGGTTTCATGAAATGCATAAAACATTCCTTTTCAGTCTAGACCCCATTTCATGTCCGGTTCAATAAAAGAACAAAAATGTAAAATCGAAGATTTGGATTTTATAGAGACATTTGGATTTGAAGGGATTTTGATTGGAATGAATTTGAAATCATTGATTGTTTGGTTTGTAGGATTTAGAATGAAACAACATTCCATTATTTATAAATAATTTATACAAAAATTACAAAAATAATTAAATTACATTTTTATTAATCGATTATTACAAAACAAATGTTGTTAACATTTTTTAAAACCTTATTGCATACAATCCTATGAAATCCCGAGCACCCCTTAAGGATTTCAAAATCCTGTATTTGTAGAATTTTCATTGAATCCTAAGATTTCAAATCCGGACAATCCAACAAACCAAAAATAAGATTGGAATGGATTTGAAATCCAAATCCTTCCAAATCCATTCCTTCCCCGCAAACCAAACAACACCTTATTCATTTGTTATTTTGAAAAACTACATATTTTAAGTAATATACTTAATAGTGTACAGTATAAAAAATATAATTCGACGGGGGTAGTCGCTGAACCATACCACATAGTTCCGGCAACAACAAAAGCTGCAAAAAAAGACAGCAGCGATACTACTAGAAACGACAGTTTCAGTATTGCCCATACGTAATCCTTATAGACGTTGGGGCGTGTGCACATTAAGATGGAATAGGTCTGCTAATATCCCCAAATGATCCCAAAATAAATAATTTTCAAATTAAACTAAAACTCGTATTTTAAGGAAAACTTTTTCAAAATAACTATCTGACGTGTAGTTCAGTTAGTAAATAAATGAGATGATTTTATCCAAATACAAAACAAGTCATGAGTTCGATCTCAGGTCCTCCGTTTGTTTCAATCGTTGAGTAAGTCAAAAAATGTCTCATCATATTGATGTCTTTAAAGACACATTCCATGTATATTTTCTACCCAAATAATCTATACTATATTATAAAGCATTTGACAAAACTCTTAAAAACTATTTTTTATACACAAAGTACTATTTATTGATACATATTACTTAAAATTTAAAATTACAAGTAAATAATGCATAAGTACAACTTATCAAAGCTTCATGTTTGAATTCGTGTAACTAACTGTTGAATAAACATAATCAAATACTGGATAAACATTTCATTTTAAATATAAAAATATCTAAAATATAATTAAGATAATCACTGTGTTATTATAGAAAAAATTGAATTGAAGAAATTACACAACAAAACAAAAACTTTTAAATAGTTGATTTGATACTAATATTGATATTTTTAAAAAAAAATTAAGATATCTTCAAATTTATATTTTTATTCAAAAATAAAAAACATTATCGTTTTTCTCAAAATAACATAAAACAGTATTATAACATCGACTAGGGGCGCTCAAAAATCCGACAAATCCGACCAACCCAATTCAACGTGAAACAACTCAACCCGAAGCAACCCGATGTCTAATCGAGTTGTAAAATTTTTAAACCGTAGGTATTGGGTTGATATTGAGTTACTGTTATTTGAACCCAACCCAATCCGATGAATCCGATATCCCTTTATTTCTTGGATTTAATATGATTTTTGAATTTCTATTAATATATACATTAGACAATTACATTATCATGTATGTTTTTCATATACACATATTTTCAATCTATTCATATCTCTATATAACTCATTCATATATATGTTCAGTAACTGTGAACATACATATGTAAATTGAGAAAATTAACTGAATATGATATACGTAAGAAATATGAATAAATTGTATCAAGTGGTTGATGATGAAAAAGAAATTATGAGTAGATAAATAACATATTCAAGGTTAGAAAAATATTTTAATATACCAAAATATCAACCCGACCAACCCGTACGGGTTGGGTTGGGTTGGGTTGAGTTGGATTGCACTTTGGTTTGGGTTAAGATTTTTCCAAATCGCAAGCATTGAGTTGAGTTATTCAAATGTCTTCAACCCGATCAACCCAACCCATGAACACCCCTAACATCGACAAGTTACAGAGTAAAATGAAACATTAAAATCAGAATGTATCTCGCTGCATTACGCGAACACCATTATAGTGTTTTCAAATAATCTAAAATTGTTATATTAATTTTTATGTTGACAATTATAATGATGACTTAAAAACCCATTATTTTTAAATAAATATAATAATAATAATAATAATAATAATAATATATAATGTGTTATAATTAATCGACAACCATTATGCCATCATACGTTTATTCTGTAAAAAAAGCATTAAATGCATCACAACCCTCTTCAGACTTTCAATTATTCAATTGAATATTTAATATACACCTATTTTTTATTGAATAAATTATTGATATAGTCTCCCCCTTGTTCCCCTGGTTAGTTGAGCTAGATTTAATGTTGATTTTGAGTCCGAATGTGTGGGTTTTAGAGAGAGAAATCTATATCTTCCTCTGACCCAACTTTCCTTTCTTTTTCTTTCTGATCTGCTCCTGTCTTCCATCTGTTCGACGAAACTCCTCACTCAGTTTTTTCATCTCATCATGTATCAACTCACCCTTACTTCTTAAGGGTTTCATGGTTTTCGGGTTTTTCAAGGTATGGATCTTTAATTTTGCATTATTTTACTGTCATTTCTGTGCCCTAATTGGGATTTTGATTCAGGGTCTTCTATTGCTTTTTGGGACAGGTTTAAAGTTTTCTTGGATCTACTTGCTTGCTTTTCTTAATTCCATCAAGAATGAAACCAAAACCCTAAAATTTTCTTGTTTGACATTTTTGTTGCGTCAGTGATTCCAAAAGTCAAAGTTTGTGTTATTTGATTTGATGGGTTTTTATTTTGGCGTTTTTTGCTTTAATTTTGACATGGGTTCTGTTCTACTGCTCTTGTTTGCAGCTCCCAAAATGCAGATTTGATGGATTTCTAACTGGTCATCAACAGGTTGGTTTTCTTGTCTTCTTTTCTCTAATATTTTGATTGGATTTTATTTCAGTTTTATGTATATTTTTAATATATTCTCACTTGGAAAGATGAGGAATCTAGTGAAGATATGACTCAGAGTCAGGTAGGTGTATAGAACCTGCCTAGATAATTGATGCTGGTTCTTGAAAAAAAGAACTTCAAGTTGACCTTTTCAATTGCAACATAACAGAATATCTGAAGCTGTTTAGCCATATCATCAGAACGGATTTTAGTCAGTTCTTGCTTGTTATTTATTTATATTGTGTGAAAACTGCTACAATTGTGCTATATTTTCGTTGTTGCAGGGTGTTTTAGTCATTTCAGTGATATGATCAAACACTTGTTCTTAACTATCTGTGTAGTTAACACACAACTATTTTCGAAACTCGAACCTGTGACCTTCTGATGGGAGAGGCTTTTGCCATCAGGCTATAACTTTTGGCTAGACTTGGATCATTCGATGATGTGGTCTTAGAAATTTGACCAAAGACCATATTTGGCAACTATAAGCTAGTTTTATTTGAGTTGCTTCCTATATTTTGCATAAATGCCCCTTATATTTTTCTTTTATGTTATTTTACATTGTTTTCTAACTTATCGGCTAGTTTTTACCACATGTGGCTTAGCTAACAGTTATTAGCCAACAACTAACTTATCAGCTGGTTTGCCGAACATAGTCAAAATGAGTTCTTAGGATTATCTCAATAGTTTTAATTCCATAAATCAGGCCTAGTTCAGATTGAATCTTGAAATTATGTTATGAAAACCCTTACGCTTGTGATCATCTTTTACCACAATCTGATTCAAGCTTCTTTTGATTGTTTTGCAGCCACTTTCACATCTCAAATCCTTTGAGCAAAGAATTTGTGTCCATTAATTTCCTTTGAAAAATGTCGTTCCGTAGCATAGTTCGTGATGTGAGAGATGGGTTTGGAAGTTTATCAAGGCGTAGCTTTGACGTGAGGCTGTCAGGGCATCATAACAGAGGAAAGTCACAGAGTTCGATTAATGATTTAAATGATAATAAACCGTCTCTTGTAATCCAAAACAGTCGGTGGGCTAATCTCCCTCCTGAGCTTCTTTTTGATGTAATTAAGAGGCTAGAAGAGAGTGAGAGCACGTGGCCTGCAAGAAAACATGTCGTCGCTTGTGCTGCGGTTTGTAGGTCATGGAGGAGTATGTGTAAGGAAATTGTTAGAACCCCCGAATCATGTGGGAAGCTTACTTTCCCGGTTTCATTGAAGCAGGTATTTACCCTTTATCACAATATGCATTTCTTGCACAAGCTGGATCATTCACGGAAACAGCCGCTCTACTCTTCTGGGTAGAGGCCAGGTCTTGCGTATATTTCACCCCTAGACCCTACTTTCAAGTGGGATTTACGGGCTCAGTTTGTTTTGTTTGGTTTCTATCTTGATATGTATGAAGTTGCATGATGATTACTGATAGCTATCCGGATTTTCAGCCGGGCCCACGTGACGTTACTATTCAATGCTTCATCAAGAGGGATAAATCGAACTTGACATATCATCTTTTCCTGTGTCTTAGTCCCGGTGAGTATATGCTATTCATTTATACGACGAAATTATTCATCGTTATCTTTATCCATACAAAAATACTCCATTAAAACAAAAACAAATTACATATTTATTTTTGAATCTAAACTATTTAACTTATAATAAAATTTTGAATTAAACAAATTAAAACTAATTATTGGTATTGAAGAGAGTAAAGAGTTGTATTTCGTTGTTTTAATATCAAGAGAAATTTGATGTTATAAAGATTGAATCTTGTTTTGCAGCTGCCTTACTAGTTGAAAATGGAAAGTTCTTGCTGTCTGCAAAAAGAACTAGAAGAACTACCTGTACCGAATATGTGATCTCCATGGATGCTGATAACATTACGAGATCAAGCAACACTTATATCGGAAAGCTCAGGTATAAATCCGACCATTTTCATTTTACTGTCGTGCAATCATCTCTTTCATCTGGTTTGTGGTTCAATATTGGTACAACTTGCTCTGATTGTTGAAAAGTTTCGATTTTTAGCAAGTTTTTCGTTTGTTTCGTTTCAGATCTAATTTTCTTGGGACGAAATTCATAATATACGACACGCAGCCACCGCATTCCGGTGCGCAGATCCCAACACCAGGACGATCAAGCCGAAGATTTTATTCCAAGAAAGTCTCACCGAAAATGCCAAGTGGCAGCTACAACATTGCCCACATCACCTACGAGCTTAATGTGCTCGGCACACGTGGGCCCCGCAGGATGCACTGCGTCATGCACTCGATCCCTTCCTCTTCCCTTGAGCCAGGCGGGTCCGTGCCAGGTCAGCCGGAGCTCCTCCTTCCGCCACGCTCCCTCGAAGACTCCTTTCGGAGCATGTCCTTCTCGAAGTCCCTCGACCACTCCACAGAATTCAGCAGCTCTCGGTTTTCCGAGATCATGAGAGCCGCTACGTCCACCGATGCCCCCGATAGCGAAAAGTCGAAAATGCCCTTGGTCCTGAAAAACAAATCGCCTAGGTGGCACGAACAGTTGCAATGCTGGTGTCTGAATTTCAGGGGACGGGTGACGATCGCCTCCGTCAAGAACTTCCAGTTGATCGCGGCCCCACCGGTGGCCGGAACGTCCCAGCCAGCACAACCACCACCAGCGGACCACGATAAGGTGATCTTGCAGTTTGGTAAGGTCGGGAAAGATATGTTCACGATGGATTACCGGTATCCCTTATCTGCATTTCAAGCATTTGCAATCTGTTTAAGCAGCTTTGACACCAAATTAGCCTGTGAATAGAAAAAATTGACATTAGGGTTTCTAAAGACAAATGGGCAAAGAAAGCAAATAGCAATGCATTTCTTTGGTTGCCCATTTTGTGTTTACCCTTACTCCCCTCATTCTCTCTCTCAGTAGATTGTTGTTGAAATTAAAAACTCCATTCATAACTGTTTGTTGTAGCTTTGTGTCTCTGTTGACTCTTCTATTCTCTTCTGTTTAGGGTAAAGATAGAGAAAAGGTCTGTGCAAATGTCTTATTGGGACTCAACCTGTCTGAATATTACTGAGCTTATTCATGACTGTTTGGTGTAAGCTTGTTCTTTTGTCTTAATTTCTTTTGTGTCAGTCTTTACCCTTCAAGGTTATATTGGGATTTACTGAGCCAGCTTGGTTTGGTTCCCAGCCCGAGAAGAAAGCATGGTTCCCTGGTGCTTCGTGGGACGGACGTTCGTGGTCCCCCTCCCTCTAATCTAAGCCTACCTCGCTCGCTTATATTTGACCGAAGGGCTGTTTACTAACACTTACCCGGGTAAGTGCTTACCGACAAAATTTAAAACCAACAATTACTTACCGGGTAAGATTTTAGTCCACCAAAACGGTATCGTATGCAAGTGCAACGACTAACCTGGTAAGTGTTAACCGTGGCAAGAGTCGTGGTCGTCACTTACCGGGTAAGATCCTCAGTCCTTGCCTTTGCTCTTACCGAGTAAGATTCTTGGTCCTTGCCAATTCTTGGTCCTTGCCATATTGATTCGGTAAGATAATGTGACTTGGTAAATAAGCGCTTGGTAAACGGGCTCTAAGTTTTCCGTTAAAGTTAACAATTACTCAGACAACTATGTACTATTTGCTATGTGGTAATAATGTACTATAGATATGGTTGCTTTTAGGCTTTCGGAATTTGTTGTGACGAACTTTGCATTCAAAAAGACAAAAATCGAGAGGCATACAACAAACTTGAAGAAGGTTTATGACTACATATATAAATTAAAGGCTTAACAATAATATTACGGTATAGAAAGACATCGAATTCATTAGGTTGGATTGGGTTAAAGTGGTCCTAACCTAATAACCAGTGGGTGGACCTTCGGTTTGAAGATTTTGCAACTAGACCAGGTATCGAGTGGCTTCAGATTAGATTATAACATTTGGCAACAGAAAGTTAGAGATATCTGTGATAAGGATCGAGAATTTCATCCAGTAAGAGAGAACAAGAAGTTAGCACTTATCAACAATCCATTTTGATGACTGAGATTATATCTGATAAGGTAAGAACGACAGTGACTATTACTTGGTAAGCGTTTACCAGATAACTATTTGGTAAACGATCGTAATTGAGTGAAAAAGGTTATGTGGGGAGAATTGGGAAGAGAGAAGACAAACCACCCGGCCACTACATCGAATATGAGTTTATTTTTTTTTCTCTCGTATACTGTTTTAGTTTGCTTAGGCCTGTTAGAAGCCATTGATCTTGCTTAGGGATGGCAACGGAGTCGTGGATACCGAAGATTGCAATCCCCATCCCCACACGGAATCGCAGATTTTTTCCGTTTACAAAGTCTAATTGCTTTCTATAATATTTTTATGGATGTCAATTTCAAGTTTAAACGACGTATTATTTATTTTAATTATTTTATTTATGTGAAAGTAGTTGAAAGTTAAATATATCAATTACAATACTTTAGTAATTGATATATACCAGTATTGTTATATCACCAAAAGTTTATCCAGGAACAATTAAAGATTAATTATATTTATTGGATTTATGTGTTATATACATACTCCCTGGGTTTTTATTTATTTATTTATTATATACATACACACATAGTGTATATAGCGCTGTAAACGAACCGAACGTTCAGCGAACCGTTCGTGAACCGTTCGGCGGGAAGTTCGTTTATGTTCGTTTATTTAATAAATGAACGAACATGAACAATTTTTTGTGTTCGTTTAGTTAAACGAACGAACATGAACAAGAGTCTCGTTCGTTCATTTATGTTCGTGAACGTTCGTTCATTTACCGTTCGTTTACGTTCGTTCATTTACCGTTCGTTTACGTTCGTTTATGTTCGTTTATATATTAAATTTAATATACAATCTTTTATTTATTTACTTTGAATTCAAGTAATATTTATTTATGTTCGTTTAGCCCGTTCGTTTGTGTTCGTTCGTTTACGTTCGTTTAGCATGTTAACGAACGAACATAAACGAACACGAACACACCTTATTTCTAAACGAACGAACACGAACACAAAAATTTTCGTTCGTTTACCGTTCGTGTTCGTTCGTTTGTTCGGTTAAGTTAAACGAACGAACATGAACAAGCCTTCGTTCGTGTTCGTTCGGTTCGTTTACAGCCCTAAGTGTATATATATATATCTATACTATATTATAAAATATTTGACAAAAATTTTTAAAAACCAAAAGAATGCATGAAGTATTGTTTATTGATGCATATTACTTAACATTCAAGATTGCAAGTAATTTTGCGTAAATACAACTTATTAAAGCTTTATTTTTAAATTCGTGTAACTAACTGCAGATAAACATAATCAAATACAAGATAAACATTTATTTTAAATATAGAAAATCTAAAATATAATTATGATAATCATTGAGTTCTAACAGAATCATTATCTTTATAAAAATTATATTGTTAAGCCAAAAATAAATTACTTCGCTATTAGACCTAAATTAGATTATAATAAAATTTTGAATTAAAGAAATTGTACAAAAAACGATAACTTTTAAATAGTTAATTTGATATTAATATCGATATATTTTTTTCAAATTTTTATGATATCTTCAAATTTATTTTTAATCAAAAGTAAATATTATCTTTCTCAAAACTATATAAGCTGTATTATATTAACATAGACAAAAAATAAAATGAAACACTAAAATAAAGATATATCTCGTTACATTATAAAATAAGGGTTGGAGTTGGAGGGTATCTCCATTATTGGTCATCAAAATATTTTTTCTAATCTTGAATATATTGTTTTCTTTAATTTACTCATGATTGTTTTTTCATCATCAAACATTTGATACAACTTATCCATAATTTTTAAATCTCAAGTATATCACATTCAATTAACTTTTTCAATTTCCGTATATATATATATATATATATATATATATATATATATATATATATGTGTGTGTGTGTGTATAAATGTGAGTGTTTACAATTATTGAACATATATACAAATGAGTTATAAAGAAATGGAGAATATATTGAAATTATATGTATATAAAGAGCGTACGTGATGATGTAATTGTTTAATGTACATATTAATAGAGACTCAATAACCATATCAAATTCAAAAAATAAAATAATATTGGGTTCATCAGGTTGGATTGAGTTCAAATAAAAGTGACATAATATCAATCCAATACCTACGTTTCGAAAATTTTACAACTCGATTAGACATTTGATTGTTTTGGTTTGAATTATTTCGTCTTGAGTTAGGTTGGTTTGATTGGATATTTGAGGAACAAAGACTTTCTATAAAACACCTGCGGTTTAATTTTCAATACATGTTAACCTAAAACAGATGGAACATGTCATACATAAATGCTTATTTTAACGAAGAAAGCCACACATAACGACTAAAATGTAAAGAGATTTTGATTCGAAGGACCGTTGGTGCATGAAAAGAAGTTAAAGGGTAAAAATGATTGATACTTAATACTTCAGGGGTAAATTATGTAATTTGTTTTAAATAACAAACTCGCCATGAAAGAAGGCGTCATAACTTGCAAGCTTTACTGCTCCATTGCTAGGGTCTCATTTCATATACATCCCCTGTTTCCGTCAACTTTGGATCCCCTTCAAATCCTTTTATTTGTAATTCCACGATCAATTCCATCGGTACTCTCTTTTTCCTTTTAATTTCATTCGTTTACTTAAATGTATCGTTCTTCATGTTGTAGATCTCTTCGAATATATGCGTTGTATGAATTGAAAATGTAGACGATTTGGTTTGTAGTTACTTTGATCCAGGTTTTTGAAAATGATTCGTTTCAAATTGTTAATTCGTGTTAAATTTAGGGATTGTTTTATGAATGTGCTTGAATTGCAAGTGCGTTTTGAGTGATCGTGTGAGGAATAGGAAAGTCATTTGTTCATGGAATTTGTTACTTTTTAAGGCTAGGGATTTGCATGGAAACTCTGTTCGAATTGTAGGTGAATCTAATTGTTAACTGTTACTTAAAATTTGAATCCAATTTGGATAATTCCGTTAGGGTTTTTGAGCTATAGTTATTAGGAACATATGCTACTTCGAATATGGTTTAAATTCTAGAGAGTTGATATAAATTTGATTCTTTCAGGAGATGTTTTTCTATAACAGAAAAGAAAAGAAATTTTGATCAGGGATTCTGGAGAAATTGTAATGACAGCCAAAATGCCGTTTGCAAGTGGCTACACAATGTCACTCAAGACTCTTTGTCGATCAGTTTTTGGGTTTGGGATTGATCATAATCAAGTTCATTCCATGGAACTGCTTGAAGAATGTGATATTCACCTGGATAAAGAACTTCAATTGTTTCAATATCAAGTCTTTCGCCAGTTCAAAAATCTTTCGGAATCTTCTGATGATGGATTTCTTTCCCTTGATTGGTTATCCATGCTATTAGATGCTTTTGTTGTTTGTCATGAAGATTTTATGGCTATTCTGTCGAAGAACGAGCCATATCTTTCAGAACCCCCTTTAGATAAGCTGGTTATGGATTTTTTTGATAGGAGTATCAAGGCTCTTGATATTTGTAATGCTATTTGTGATGGAATTCAGAAGATCCGGTGTTGGCATAAGCACTTAGAGATCGTTTCATATGCTTTGAGTTCAAGACAGAGGAAACTGATTAGCAAAGGGCAGTTTAGAAGGGCGAGAAAAGCATTGACCGATTTAGATCATATTATGCTTGATGATACTAAGGATTCTGGACGGTTCTTTTTGCGCAGATTCAAGTCTTTTGGGCACTCAAACAAAGGAAAATCCGTCAACTGCCATAATCAAGAACAAATGAGATCTCTCTCCTGGAGCACGTCTAGTTCATGGCCAGCAAGTAAGCAACTTCAGTCTTTGGCAAACAGCTTGATTCCACCTTGCGAAAATGAAACTTCTACCACCTACCGCCTTGCGAATGTTGTTTTCATGATGGGTTTTGTCTACGTGTTTGTCTTGTGGGCCCTAGTGGCTGCAATCCCGTGTCAAGATAGAGGCCTCCTCACTAATTTCAATATACCAAATCATTTCTCATGGGCTACCCCGTTCTCAGTGCTTCATGTTCGAATCATAAATGAATTCAAGAAGCGTGATGGCAAGAACAGTTTTGGGTTATTAAAGGAGATTTCACAAATGGAAAAATCCGTTGGTTACATCACCAATTTGATCGATTCTACCCACCAGTTTCCATTGACAGAAGAAGAAAAGGAAAAAGTGGTAGTGGGAGTTGCTGAATTGTCTGTGGTTAGCAATGCATATGAGAATGGTTTGCATCCATTGGAGTACCAATTGAGACAAGTGTTCCATAAAATCATGTTCTTTCGATCAGAGGGACTTGAAATCTTGTGCAGGGTACGATCTTGAGGATCTAAGATCATAAGTAAGCAGGAAGAAAATTCCAAAAATAATGGACTTCTGGCAGGTAATTTATGTAGTTAATCATCTACTAGTCTTTTTGATGTGCCATGTTTTTTTTTATTAACCTGATCCCAGGGCAATTACCTGCTTTGCAGATAGCCCGGAGTCACCGCATTTGAACCTCCGTGGCCACAAGGGGATTTTTATTMCTCCTTGGATTTGAACTTGGGACCTCCAAGTACTTTTGACCTTTGGAGCTAAGCTCAAACCAATCTGGCACCACCCCTTGGATGTGCCATGTTTTTAGATGCTTCTAATTTAGTTCTTTTATGTCCTTGGGTTTTCTTCCATTTATTAGGGCATAACTGGAAAGTGGGAAAAAAGCCATTGGAGCTTATTTAATCGCTACTCAGAAGTAGCTTTTTAAAACCTAGCTTATGGCTAATGAAACCCGACTTTTCAATTAGCTAAAAAAATAAGCTAGCTTATGATTGTCGAACATAGTCTAAGACTTTTAGTCTTTGTGATATATAGCGAGTTTCGAGCAAGTGTACCAACCAGAAGGTCATCAGTTCAAGTCGAGAAAAAAACTCTCTTTCATAATGCATGGTAACACGTCACGTGCTCGAGTTATGGGGATTGTTTTTTCTTTGGGAAAACGTTAAGGAAAATACAAGCTTTCCTGTAAATGAAGTTGAGGGATGATCGTGTAGATTGGTTGGCATAATTTTGTATTCATTTAGTTGTCAGATGTTTTGGTATTATATTCTTTATGGTTTTTTCTTCCAATATATGCTCATACTTATTAGGAATTTTCAAAATACCACATAAACGGTATAATCTGCTCATATATCGTACTAAACGGTGTGGTTTAGAACTCGAAAAATTGCTTAAAATAGACATTTCTAACAGTCAAATTTACCTTTCACTTTCACTCATTTACAAGTTGAGTAGTTGCTACTTGCAGAGTGTCATTTTTGAAATTTTAAAAGAGAAATGACTAAGAGATGAATACATAAGACTGAAATGGCTATTTTGAACAATTTACCTTGACACTTTCGTCATACAGTTAATGATTTATATTTTTTATGCTGCATCATGTAATTTGGTTTGCCAAACTACAGATTAATTTCTATTGATTATTTTTTATATTTATTCATTAAATGAAAAATATTTATTACGACTAATTAAATTGGTTTGTCCAATAAAAGAGTAGCTGATAGATATTAGCCCAATATGGCATAAGTATGCAAACTTCTGTAAGACCATTAATTTTTCTCTTTAATTTTTAATTTTCAAGTCCATTGGCTAGAAAGGTTGTTTTACAAACAGCAAAAACCATTAATAAACCATTTAGGTACAAACCACATAAACAGTATAATATTGCACCACGTTTTTGTTGTTTCAGATGTGTACGGTTTGAAAAAAATATTAAATCGCTTAATATGGCATCACGAACACCCCTAATGGACATATGATAAAAAAAAAGTCAAATAAAGAGATACGTTTTGCAAGTTCGTTATTACGGGTCATTAGAATGATAATGTTATACAATATAGTTAATGCAAGTGTTGTTGGGTGTGACTTATGAATACATAAACATGTTCAGCATGAAAAATTATATGTCCGTATGCATCACTTCAATTCGATTTAAATATTTTAATCAAACTTCTAAATAAGCCAAATCAACATCGGTGTTATCTGATGCAGCCATGAAAGAATGGTGCTCTAGTATAAAGGAGTTGTTTGTTTACCTCTTAATAGTTCAATTAAGAGGCAACATCTGAATCATTAAGAGGTGAATCTTGTTTGGCAAAAAAGAAGTCTGCTCTTAATGGTTCGAAAACCTTCTGAATGATTTTGTACCCTGAGCCTCCCTTAACCATGAAACGATTTCATTGTAAACAATTACCAAACAATTATATTTCATCTTGCACTATATCCTCTTAATCATTCTAACCACTTAATCATTCTGCATCAAACCATTCAGCAACTGCCAAACACAGACAGAGTTTCACATAGTAGAATTATTTTCATATTGATTTGGAAGTATCTAATTCAGTCCCTTACAGAAAGAAATTACTAATGAATATTAGTAAGTAGTTAATACTACATATGATATAATAGGGATTAAGTGAGGTGAGGTGAGGGTTTTTAAACTAAGAAATTAATTAAGCAGACACACAACAACTGGTGGCTTCTTTCACCTACATATCTCTTTACATTTTCCTTGCTTTTTAAATCTTATTCACATGGAATTACTTCTTCTAATTGCAGCTGCTGGTTTTCTCTTCTCATCAACTGCCATCACCTTCTCCATTAGCTGTAAACACATATATATATATAATCATATACCACCAATTCAGACAAATTCAATAAGCAAAGGATCAAAATCTACTCCATTAAGACCATGAATGACCTTCTAACTTTTTTTAGCTGAATGAAAACACCCTGCCCTAGTTAAAAACAGTCTGCTCCCATAAGACCTGACCATATCCTTTTGCCACTTACATGAAGGGCTGAATCCTTGAGTATTTTGATGTTTTGGGTCATGCATCAAAACCCAAACTACTAATGAAGCAATTAGCTTTTTAAGGTTGCAACTTCCTTTTCATGTTCAAGTGGCAGAAGGATTTGGTACTTGTATTTGAGGGTTGATTTTTCAAGATTACTTTGGATTTTATATGGTCTCCCCACTTGTGTGTTCTAATGATTAACATGCTTTGCATAGGATTGTTGAGTTAGAAACAGAAAAAGCATTCGGTTATTGGGGAAAAATCAATATACTTCTAATGTCGAATCAGGATCTAAGTAGGATAGGTCCCTAGAAATTGCTGTCTATATCATGCATTAACAGGGGAACCACCCCACCCCACCCCACCTGTTAAAACCAAACATTGAAATTTCTTTCATGTACAAAAGCAAGGTACTTTTATCTTCTCAAAATCAAATGCCACCAAGAAACCTAATTGACTCATGGCTCTGTGGCCACCATCTATGTGATGAAACTATCACTAGGGCTATGATTACCAAAGGCTGATCCACTTCCACCAAAAAGTTTGATCAGAACCCCCATTACAATGATCAAGATAATCATCTGCTTCTAATTGAAAACTGGTTATTCATCAACAGTAGTTGGCCACTGCCATTACAGGGAAAACTACCTACACAACACCTACTTGGAAGACTAGTCATGGTGTGATGGGGATGAATAACAAGGAGACTGGGGGAAAGTTCAAGTTTGGGGTTAATTTCTCAAAGAAACCAAAATTATCAGAGTTCATGGTTATGTGATTACCAACCTGCTTAAACCGCTCCTTGTTCAGTTCATCCTGCAAGTAGATTAATGAATCAGATGATCGTTCTGTATAATTCTATCAAATTACACAAAGGATCGTACCACTTCCTTCAACAATCTCGCATGCTCTTCTTCCAATTGAGTTACCAGAGACTCTAATTCGACTGTGTAAGCCTAGAATTTCGATAACGAACAACATAAATCTGAATTCAAATTATGAGAATTGGAACAGTTGATTGACAATTCGACTAACCTGCTTTCGCTCCCTAGACCTTGCAGCGGATTCTCTGTTCTTGATCATCCTCCTCTGTTTCTGCTGCGTTGCCTTGTCCACCGGCGGATCTTCCACCATCACCTTCCTCTTACCCCTCCCACCGCCGCTGCTCCCAAATTGCATGTGCTGCTGAGGCACCGCTTGAAATGAAGCAATCGGATCGGTAACTCCAGAATATTCCGAGACTGGCGGCAATTTCGCTACATCCTCCTCCCTAACAGCTCTAGCCTTCGTCAGAAAATCCTCTAGCGTCATCTCGGGATCACCACTACTTCCATCCACCATATCCTTCCAATCCTCATCCACCGTCCTTCCACCGCCATCGGCGGGTAAATCCTCCGGCGTCTGACGCGAATCCTCGTAAATATTCTTGAGAAGATCATCCATATTCATGGAAATCAAATTGGTATTGTGATCGACGGTATGTGCATATGGCTGATGACGTTGCAGATCCTGATTCGCCGGCGATGATGATGCCATCACCTTCGATGACGCCATACAAACAATTCAACACAATTCTGAATTGAAATATAAAAAAGACCAAATCTTGTTTGAGGGTTTACAGCAGGAGGAGGAGGAGCTCGAAGGTGAAAAAGGAGTAGTGGCGAGAGAGTCTCGCCGGAAGTTATACAAATACAGAAACCATTTTCTAGAGAGAGAAAAACAGACCTGTGGACGGTTATGTCCTTACTCCACGGGCTTGAAACTTCCAACCACCGAGGACAATTTGGTCATTTCGAAGGTGCATGCCTTTCTTGGAAAGCCGGCAGGGGGATGGTCACGGGTAGATGCGTGTCCAAATTTTCTTTCCATGTTTCTATTAAAAGTAAAAAAATTATTTTATTATATTTATTTATCAAAAAAGTTATAATTTATATTATAAAACATTTTGACAAAAACTCTTAAAAATTAATTTATATATATAAAATACTATTTATTGATACATATTATTTGAAATTCAAGATTATAAGTAAATAATGTATAAGTACAACCTACTAAAATTTTATTTTTGAATTTGTGTAACTAATTACAGATAAACCTAATCAAATATTGGATAAACATTTTATTTTATATAAAAAATCTAAAATATAATTAGGATAATCATTATGTTCTAACAGAATACTTAATTATTGTCTTTAAAAAACTATGTTATTAAATAAAAAATAAATTGCTTCATTATTAAATCTAAATTAAATTATAATAAAAAATTGAATAAATTACGCAACAAAACAAGAACCTTTAAATAGTTAATTTGTATTAATATCGATATTTTTATTTTTATTTTTTTAAGATATCTCTAAATTTATATTTTATTCAAAAAACTTTAAAATAGTTAACTTGATACTAATATCGATATATATATATATATATATATATAAATTTTAAGAAATTTTCGAATTTATATTTTATTCAAAAATAAAAACATTATCGTTTTTCTCAAAACCACAAAAACCATATTATAACATCCAGGGGACGGAATAAAATAAAACATTAAAATCGATATGTATCTCGATGCATTGCATGAATACCCTTCTAATTATTTATAAGTTTGATTAAATAATTATTTGTTTATCCCTATTTTATTCATTAAATTATAGTAAAAAGACATTAATTAGATGCTAAATTGCCCCTTTAGTTTTTTCTATTACAATTTTACCCTTTATATTTTAAATATATAAAATAAGAAAATATTACAGAACACTATAACATATCTATAAACGACATCATTATGTTTAATGAATTCTAAAAAACTGGTATTTTCCATGTTCTAAACTTATACTGCTAACATACACTGTCATTATAACATATAGGTCAAACTTCGGAAAGCGATTGTCTGTATAGTAATTTGCTCAAGATAATAAACTTGTTATCCAGATGTAATTATATTTTGGAGTTTTCCACGATAATAACTAAAAAGGACAAAAAGGGAAAGATTTAAAGAAGCTATAAAACGGGTACAATTTGGCAAACACTTGATTTGGTTACCTAAACAATGAACAAATCCTAGATTATATTACATAAACTACTTATAATCATCTATTGTAACTTATTAGCCAATAAAAATCAAAAGACATCAAAGGGTATTTGACTTTACGGTATCTGAGCCTCTTGCTTTTTAAGAGGTCAGGGGTTCAAACATCACCAATGGTAAGGAGCGTGTGTAAGTTTATTTATTGTATTTGTCGTATATAGAATATATTATGTACTTCTAAAAAAAATCAAAAGAGGATTCATTCTCCCTTTCTAGCAACATAAACTTGTAAAATCTTCTTTTGAACCACAAGGATGGTGTCTGATTGGTTTGAGCTTTGCTCCAAAGGTCAAAATTATTAGAAGATCCCAAGTTCAAATCCAAGGAGAAATAAAAATCTCATTGTGGCCATGGATATTCAAATACGGTGACGCAAAGCAGGGCTAGGATTAATTAAAATGTTAATTAAGGGCATTTTAGTCATTCTAGATTTTTTTTCTCTCTTCTCTCTCTCTTCTATCCTCTCTCTCCTCTCAACTCTCTCCATCAAACACCTCTCTTCAACGAACACCATATCAACACATGATGCACACTGTGATACGCTTCATAAAATAATGAAAAAACACAGTGTAATACACTTGGTAAAGAAAACATTATCTGATACATTGTGTTACACTTCGTAAAACAACAAAAATATATTGTGATACACTTCGTATAACGACAAAAATATACTGTGAAACACACTATGATACCAGATCTGATTGATGAATACAACTGTGATACCACTATGTTAACACTGTGATATCCAATAACTTTTAACAGTAAGAAAGTATATATTTATTTTCTCAATTGTAACTTCATAGAAAGAAACTTTCATAATTTGTTTGATTAATAAGGAAATAATATCAATCTCTTTGATTGATAATTCAGAAAAATATTAATAAAAGTACTAATACATTTTTTTTCTTAATTAAGGTAATACAATTAATATAATAAAATGATTGACTTATATTGGGTCTCACGGTTACTACAAACTAATTAGTTCTCATTCGATTAGGCTTATATATATATATATATATATATATATATATATATATCCAAACATGGTCTAATAGGTGCAACCTTGAAGGAAAGGTTGTAAGAATCGAAAAATTAGCTATTTTCAAATTTTAACCGGTTCTAAGAAATATAAAAGAGAAAGATTTTGTATCAATATAAAGATCATAATACTAAGTCTCACAATACAAATTTCAAAAACAAATAACCACAAATATCATATGCACAAAAATATTGCTAGCAATGTACAGAGATAAAGAAGAGGTACTTGACACTGGTTTTACCGTGGTTCACCCAATCTTGACTACGTCCACCTCTGAGACACGTCTCGAGTCACTTCATTATTGTTGTTTTTAAGGTAGAACAAAAAACCGTACAGATTGATCTTACAGTGAAGATATAAAATACTCAACCTTTTATAAAAGAGAGAGTCACTCAAAGATATTGTAGGAAGATAAAACTCAAACCTACAATATGTAATGAATACACAAGAAGATTAAGTGGTGATATAACAATCTCCCAAAGGATGAAGTTTTTGATGTAGAAATCAAGATTGAAACATTAAGAACATTCAAAGATGTTCTTGAGTGATTTTGGGAGGATTTTTGAGTTTGATGTTCAAGAGATAAAAAATTCCTGCGAGCGGGTGGATCGGGGATATGGGAGAAGAACGACTTTGTGCCAATAGAATCCTTTTTCTGCCAGATAGCCTTGACCTAGCTTCCGGAAGGATCTTCGGAGCTTAGAAGCACTCTCTGAGACTCTGTCCACCCTTATGAGAAGGAGTCAAGAAGATAGGAAGGAGGATAGCTATGATCCTGCCAACGTTTTTTCAAAAATAAAGCTTTAGGCTAACTAAAATAGCTTTTAGAAAGATGGAAACAAGGAATCCTAGTAGTTCTAGGTGTCCGTTTTCTTCAGGTAAAGTCTCCGAATATAGATGTTACTAATAAAATAGAAAAGCAAGGTTAGTTGTCGGTTTGGTAGTAAGCAACATCGGAAGGTAGCAGAACGAAGCATTGCGAATGCAAGTTCACTCTTAGGAGAATCACTTTGCTACACTCCGACTTAAAGAAGGCTTGATGAACGCCCTATCCTATATAAAATGCTAGCTAGGGTGGTTAGCCGACTGATAGCCCTGTATTTTGGCAGGCAGGAAAGCCTTTTCAAGCACCCCCTTCCCTTTGCCTATAGACCTATTATTTAGCCTTTTTGCAAGGTCAATCCCCCTATAACTCAACCTATTCAATAGGGCATTAGCAAGAGTTTTAAGCTACTTTTTTTTTTCTTTCCTAGCTGTAACTATAAAGATATTGTGAAAGCTATCTCTTATTTTAGATTTGATTGACCACTTTTCTTTCCAAGAAGCTAATTTTATTTTTTCTAATGGATATATCCATATATCTCTGACTCAAATTTATGAGATGATAAAATATGGCAAAAGCTATACCGAAAAAGGGTTCACGTGGACGTATTGGTTCATGTAAGAGTACACGTAAAATACCAAAGGGAGTTATTCATATTCAAACAAGTTTCAATAATACCATTGTCACTGTTATAAATGTACGGGGGCGATTGGTTTCATGGTCCTCTGTCGGTACTTGTGGCTTCCGAGGTACAAGAAGAGGGACTATTAACTTTCATACGGGATGTAACCCCTATGCCACATAATGGCTGTAGACCCCCGAAAAAAAGACGTGTATAAATAAAAATTAAAGATATTTCAATAGCAAGAGAAACAAAAGAAATAAATGATTCAATGATCTGATCAAATAATATTATTATATTTCGAGAGACAATAACAATATCTACTTGGATACTACAGTGGCAGTGTGTTGATATTTTTCTGATTTCAAAAAACAAGGGACATTTAATCTTCTGTTACAAATGTGAATTCAAAAAAAATTCAAATAAAAGTTTCGTAAAATTTGTCTCGATTTTATAAAACACATTTTATAAAATATCTTTCGACAGAACAATCATATTTATTTTAAAAAAAATATGTTTTATAAAATTCTTTTCAGATCTATTTTTAAAACCTTAATTTTAAAAAAATAATTCACCCAAGTAGAGATAAGTTATATACCACTTGATATCATATAGAGCTTAGATGACAACTTTACATTGGCTCGGATTTGATCTTCAATCATTGACAACATACTTTCGAATGCAGTATTTGACTTTCGTCTTTTGGCACGGATCTCGAGGCAATATGGCATGTTCCCGAGACGACAACTTTTATGGATTATTTGATCAAATATGACTTTTTACTTGATTCTCAGTATATCATAAATATACGCACAAAATAAAATTATTAATCAATAAAACATTTCGTTTGTTTATAATCATCAAAAAATATATATATATATATATATATATATAGAGAGAGAGAGAGAGAGAGAGAGAGAGAGAGAGAGGAGTGATCATATGAAAACCGCCTTCATTTGTGTAAACCATGCAAACCACCTTC